ATATATATATATAAGAAAAGTTTACTTGTAAAAAACTCATCTCCCTTCACAAATATTCTAAAATATTCTAATGTTTAAAAATATGGGCTTGAGGCAATGCATTTCTAAATTCAATTTAATCATATAAAAAATATTCATTTTATATGCATATAGTTATTTATTTTTATGACATTTGACTTAATTTGTATAAAATGAAAAAAAAAACTAGTTATAAACATCTAAAAAAAATTAATTTTAATCACCAAAAAAATTTATTTAAATACATGAAAACAAGAAAATCTAACATTTGTAGAACATTAATGCCTTCTGTTTATCCATAATAGTTCTATAGTTTTGACAGAAAAACTCACCCAAACATTGCCATCTCTCCTTAAAGCAAATCAAAAGCCTGAAAACAATACAAAAGCTTGTACACTATTTTTCATGTAGGATGATGCCTCAAATTAAATCATAGTTTGAAATACATTCTAGTCAAATCAACTTTTCTTACAGCATAAAAGCCTTGCACAACTACCATACTTTTCTATAAATACAATGGACTAAAGAACTACATTTCTAACATAAAAACAGAAACAAACAACTAACTGGAAGATTAAATTTACAGAAATTTGTCTTAATTCATTTTGTAGGGCAACCAAAGTAAGCTGTGATCTTTTTAAGCTCTACGTTCAAAAAAATTCTTCTCCACCTGCAAGCAAAGATGAGGATAAAGATGTCAACAGTCTTTTTACAGGAATGGTCTGAAAAAGCAAGGGGAAATTCACATACCTAGCACACAATTCTTATGCACTTACAGATCTCACATCTAAACATTGATATTTACATATGCAACAGCTTGGCACTTTAAACGTATACATGAAAAGGTAGATTTTAATTTTAAAACGTGGTAATAATACTATTTTTTACGTAATATTATTGATTCGAGCATTATGTCTGTAAATATGGATGTTTAGGTGTGAGATGTAAACACATAAAAATCGTGCGCTATGCATGAGCAAGTATAGATTTAGTTAAAATCGAAATCCAATAACATAAAAGAAAACCTCTCCATCATCATTCACAAAACAGAGAAAATCATCATCATTAACAAAACAGAGAGAAATAAGATACTTCTCACCCAAAAAAAAAGGGGAGAAACAAATATAAAAGTATTAGGTGAATGATTCTACCAGACCACAAATCAGCCAAAGAAAAAAAGGCTTTTGAATGCAAATGACATGCCAGATTATATATATATATAAAGTAAAAAAAGAATAAGCAAAAGTTCAATAGAAAAGAAGATATTGACTTTATAAAGATATTCTCTTTCGTAATTAAACCAATGATTTTTCCTCATGTATTGAGCATTGTAACAAGAAAAAATCAATACCAAGAATAAGTGGATGTACATTTACCTTTCCTTCAAAGAGAATGTATTTTGTTTGATACAACCTGAAGGCTTTATTGAACTTGAAAAGAGAGTATTGTATAGAGTTAAATAAATGCTTTTTATGTATTAAAATAAGCACATCATCAATTTTACAACAATTTTGATTGGTTCATTCATAGGATCAAGTTTCACATATGTAAAAGCAATTAATGTCAGTTATATAAAAAGCATAAATAAGAAAGTAATATCCTATTATAATATGTAAATAACATGTATCATAATATGTAAATGGGGTGTTTATTACAGAAGTTAATTTTTTAAAAGATTACTAATTTGAACTGGCATTGACATGAAAGATTTGAGAGAAGCAAAAAATACTCCAGAAATGAGAATAAATTATAATAAGACTGCATGTATATGAAGTCTTTCATAATCATGATATATTAAAAAGTATTAGACAAGCACAATATGATAAATGCGAAGACTATAAGTACTTTATTTACTAGCCACTTCAAATTATTTAAGGAATAGAAACCGAAAAAGAAAGAAGTGAGAGCACATGGAGGAGGTCCCATATGCTTGAATTATTATATTTTTTATGTATGTAGTGATCTACACATGATGGGATGTTATAAGAAAAATGCAAGCAATCAATAGATATATGGTATGGTATCTAAATAGTACAATTAGCCATTCCTAAAAATTTTAAAAAATAAAATTGCAATAATATGTTGATTTAAATCTTGAAAGAGAGTTAGATATAAGAAGTATCTCATATGCATCTACTCCTTATGTGGCAATGTTATCAACCAAGTGTCATAGCATCATAAAATAATTGCAATATCAATCATAAAAATTACATATGAAGCAATCACTAAAACCAGTGAGGTAGTTGTACTGTTAAAGTGTTTTTTTAAAAAATAAATTTTCTAATAATTAGTATTGTTCACTTAACAAAGAATAATTTCTCACTCGTAAATAAAGTGAATAGAATTTTTAGCTCATTATTTCCCAAAAAATTAGAATGACATGAGCGAGAAAATGAAAAAAAAAACTTGGGTCTTCAAAAAAATGGTTTGTGCATGTGCCAATGTCACTAAACAGCTAAAATAATAATAAATTTTAATCACCAAAAAATTTATTTAAATACATGAAGATAAGAAAATGTAACATTTGTAGAATATTAATGTCTTTTGTTTATCTATAATAGTTCTATAGTTTGACAGAAAAGTTCACACAAACTAAAAACAATACAAAGCTTGTACAAGATTTTTCATACAGTATGATGCCTCAAATTAAATCAAAGTTCGAAATACATTCTCATCAAATCAACTTTTCTTACAACATATAAGACTTGCACAACTAGCATACTTTTCTACAAATAAAATGGAATACAGAACTACGTTTCTATCTAAAAACAGAAACTAATAATTACCTGAAAGATTAAATTTACAGAAATTTCTCTTAACTCATTTTGTAGGGCAATCAAAGTAGGCTGTCATCGTTTTAAGCTTTCCGTTTAAGAAATTCTTCTCCACCTGCAAGCAAAGATGAGGATAAAGATGTAAACAATCTTTTTACAGGAATGATCTGAAAAAGCGAGGGGAAATTTACATACCTAGCACAGAATTCTTATGCACTTACATATCTCACATCTAAACTTTGATATTTACATATGTAGCACATTGGTGCTTTAAACCTATACATGCAGAGGTAGATTTCACCTTTAAAAAGTGGTAATAATACTATTTTTTACGTAATATTATTGATTCGAGTGTTATGTCTGCAAATATGGATGTTTAGGTGTGAGATGTAAATACATAAAAATTGTGTGCTATGTATGAGCAAGCAAAGATTTAGTTAAATTCGAAATCCAATAACATAAAGAAACCCTTTCTATCATCATTCACAAAACAGAGAGAAATAAGATACTTCTCACCCAAAAAAAAAGGGGAGAAATAAAAATAAAAGTAGTAGGTGAATGATTCTACCAGACTACAAATCAGTCAAAGAAAAAGGCTTTTGAATGCAAATGACATGCCAGACTGACAAAAAAACTAAAATAAAAAAAAAAACAGAACTTATCTGAGATCAGTTTATCTTCAAACGGTAAAAACAAATTTCTGATAAAAAATTAAATAGAATGCATAATTTATCAAGCCAATAACATTGGACATGCAAGCTAATAGAACAAAGTACCTCAAGGTTCCATGGAGGATCAACTGATCGCATAAGCTCTACCAATTGATTTATATTAACATTTCGAGGAAGAAACATCACGACTTTAGGAGCAATCAAGCTTGCAATTTTAAAAAGATAAAACCTGATTCAAGAATAAAAGGTATGTGTTAGAATAAAATTGTAATGAAAAAATATCAAAAATGAACAAGCAAGAAAAAAAAAAAAACTTAACCCGTCATGAGGTTTAAGTGATCTCAGGTCATAAATCGGCTGTTTACAATAACTTGGACCACCCCAAGGAGGAGCCAAAAAAGCAACATCGCCCTAAATAAAAACCAAGCACATATGCATAATATGTCATCCATCAAGTAACAAAAAGAGAAAATTTAATACAAAAAAATCTTCTAGAAAAAAGCTGAAAACCAGAAAACAGGCAAAATGTGCATGTGAACAATATTAAAAAAGGCATTTACATACATACAGTTCATCAAACATCATGAGGGATGTATTTAAATCAACAATTCAATGCAAACAATAATTAAACTTATATGATTACCTAAATACTGCATGTTAAAAAATTACACGAAAATTCAAACTAGAATAATTCTATAAATAAAGTCAACTTCATGTTTTGGTTGATATCATAATTTAGGTGCTCTTTAATTTTTTTTATTTATGAAATTACCTTTTAACAATTATTTTATACTAATTTATGAAGAAGAATAAAAGAAACATGGACAATAATTCCATACCATAATTTGACCTTCCAATTATATATTATTCCTCTTGCATTCTTCTAATCTCACTTTCCTTTTTCAAAACTCAATGAACTTTTTAACCATGAAAGAGAACAAACTTCATAATGTAAGCAAAGAACCGTTTTGTGATTCATGTGTGTGTGTTTGAGAAAGAGAGAGAGTTAAATGATATTGAAGAGAGCCAACCCGAACTTTCAGAAATCTCATCGCCGAAGTTGTATTCCATCACCAAATCCCAAAAAGAGTAGCATGTAGTTGATAAAATAAAAATGCAAATTGGAGGACACACATATAGGCATGATTGCATGGATGGGTTTATACGGGCTTAAAAAAACAATCAAATGGTGCCTGATAAATCTCAAACAATTTCATATATAGTCAAATGTTATTTGGGTTGGGCTAGCTAGACTTTAACAATAATGAGTAGATTTTGATAAGTCATATCGTCCAGACCATCCAAATAACAGCCCTTCAAGAAGCTCCCATATAAAAAATGAGTCAAATGCTCCAGATCCAAAATAGAGAATATGCACGGATGACTCATTTAATTATATAATTACAAATGGCAAAGTTAAAAAAAATTGATGCATAAGTAAAATAAAATATCATCCAAAGGTATCCAAAATAGAACATTTAAAATGTAGAAATTTTCAATTTTTGAAGCTTTATACGTAGCAAGTTTGATGATTATTTACTTTCAAACGTGAATTCACTATCAAAAACAACTTTAAAATTATTAACGGATGAAAAAAATGACCACAAACTAATAAAATGTTTTTCCCACAGATTTAGTGCATGTATGAAGATGTACATGTTTTATCTATCACTTTGGTGTTCAATTTTAAAAAAGCAACTCTCTATTTGACTCTTGCTTTTTTAGGAATTGGTCAACTCAAGAGTTAAAGAGAGAGAATTGCCTCCTTAACCCTCATCGAGCTTATTCCAACTATTTTGGGTGGACTTCATGCATCATCATGCTTCATTAATTCTTGCTGAGATCAACGTGAGATATTAACTCCTTTTTGAACACAACTTTTAATTCTTTTACACAATTCTTTTTCACTAACATTACCTTTATTTAAATTTTTTTTCCTACTCCCACATTAATTTTATCAACCATTCTTATTAATCAAAGTGATAGACCTGAGTTCACTTTTCAATAAAAAATTCTTCAATAAATGATATCCCACAGTTCCTCATATAATAATAGTTTTCGCATATATTATTTTGTCATTCTTACTTTTTCTCACACTCAATTTAGTTATCATAGACTTGTCACCAGCACAAGATCCATATATCATAGTAGACCAAATCATAGTTTTATAAGAGTAACCTTCTTAGATATCCATGATACTATCTTATCGCAAAGCCTTAAATATGAAAGCTATTTAACCCACAACCAATTCAACAAATAAAATGCCTAAGCTATTTAAACTTACTGTATGTAAATCACTTTCACTTATAGTAAACTTATTGTGAGTATATCACTTTAACTTACAGTTATATTAACTTGTAATTTAAACTTATCGTAACAATAACTTCTCATTTATTTCATAAATATTGCATCTACAAACATTTCTCATTTTTATGATTTTTTACAAATATCTTAAAGATCAGCACAAAAAATAAGCCTAGTGTTGATTTTTCAATATTGCATGACTTTAACCTATGTTCCATAGCTTGGACATATTTATTTCAAAAAATATAAGAGATTTTTGTCCCTCGAAGAAGCCCGCAAATTGTGAACTTAAACTCAATAATGAACAGTTGGTTTTGCGTTGGACAGTGGGTTTTGCAATCCTACGAACTGCCAAGCTAACCTCTAACCTGTTAACGTCTATCCTAAAGCTGTAGAGCATAAATTCTCAATGCCTAACTTAGAAGTAATGTTTTAAAATTAGGAATGTCAATTCAAGTTAATGAGAGTCGAATTCAAGTCTAACCTAAAGTTGATCCAACCCGAGTATGCTTATTAATCCAAACTCAATTCTTTTCTTATAAAGATCAAAATGTTTGACACAAAACTTTTTCAATCTAAACTCATCAAAACTAACCCATTTATTATATTTTTTTTTTTTTTTTATCAACACAACTTAATTGACCCAAACATGAAACTTTAACATAACAAAATATCAAATTTAACAAAATGTTTCTATCTTTTAAAACTCAAACCCAAATAATCAATGAATGAATTTTGAGTTACTCTTGCATTATTGAAGCCAATTCAAACCCGACTCTAGTACTAATCAAATCTACAATTTAAGCTCGAATCCAGCCCCAGTAATAATCAAGTCTATAATTTAAATCCAAACCCAGCCTGAATATTAATAAGTCAACCTAAACATTAATTTTATGAAAAAATTTTTTGTCGAATCATTTATTGGCAGCATTGCCAAAATATAGAAGTTGATCTTATTTCTATTATAAAGTCGCTTGTATGTTTGGAGATATAAGATATATATAAGTTTACTTTTTAAGTTTACTTTTATGAAATTCTAATTTCTATATATTACACTCAGACATGTTGAAATGGATAGTTTATGATGTTGATAAATAATTTATGATCACAATTTAACTTCATAGTATATTCCATTTTATTTATAAAACATCCAAGATAAATTTGATCCACAATAGTTCAAAGATCGTTGGGCTTTAGCACTAGATCTATAGAATATAGCTTATTGTTTCTCTCAAATATTAGATTCTAAGGAAAGTGCAGTAGCCAATAGTAGACATTCTATCCATGAGCGATCATGCCCACTCAATAACTGGGTATAGCTCAGAAGTTTAAGCACCTTTTTTTCTATTGTGGGGGGGAATAAGATTCGATGATGCATAAAATGACTTAGAACACTTAACATAGGCTACATCTTGTCTTGTGCAAGCAAAATAGATATGCTTCCCAATCCAATTTTAGATATCTCCATTTTTCAACTTCTAAATTGTCATATACCACTAGGTTCATGGTGCTTGTTAATTGGGACATCTCTTAGGTTTGCTTACCGCCATACTTCTTTTATTGGCACTTGGATAAAGTTTAACGTTTTGATGATGTTGAAGGACAAAAGCAATACTCCCAAAAGTTTTTATGAAAACAATAAATTTTGTATGTCAGAGAAAATTTCTGTGAGGGCATCAAAAGGTTTTTTATTTCATAAAATTCTCCCCAAATGTAATTTATTATGAATGTGATAGTTAAGATATATTTCCTCTAATAAACTTTTGAAACAGTGATTTCAAAAAATAGAAACTAATGATTTTAAGGAGATGAAATTTTTTTTCTTCTTGCAACCCTATTTTGTCTTAGGGTGTCAACACAAAAAAATTTATGAATGATATTATTTTTGTAAGAAAAAAGGGTTAAATTTTAATTAAAATATTATTTTACATTATCAAACCTTATATGTTTAGTATTAGAGCCAAATTAAGTAAAAATCATTTCATGAAATATGTGGATGATTTTACTCCTATCAAATTTATACGTTTACTATTAGAGCCAAATTAGGTAAGATCATTTTATGAAATATGTTGATGCTTTTACTCAATCGAATTTATATTTTAAGAGAAAATATTGATTATGCATAAACAATCAACTATGAAAGTAACAAACCATCCTATCCTATCAATACTAGATATGCAAGATGATCCTCAAACATATGTGAACTAGGATAAAGGTATTGAGATTTTGAGTAACATTGTGGGTAAAACTTTAGTGTCTAGCTTTTTAACACACCTCACACAAGAACTTATCAACTTCTATTTTATTAAATAATATAAGAAATATGAATTCTAGTACACTAAACATTATATGACTCATATTAATGTGGAGTCAAATTTCTGTCCTAGTATTCAAAATTTCAAATAAATGAAACTAAGATATGCAATTATTACTACGTGGGTTTAGATAACAAAGTCCCCATTTCTCTGCATGCCTAATAATCATCTTCTTCATGTTTTTTTCTAAAAATGGACAAAAAGTACGATAACATACTCAAGCACAAATTTGGTCAGATGTAGATTTTTTAATAGATAATAGATTCATTACAAATTTTAGTCCATAGACAACATAAAAAAATGAGAAGAAATGTGTGGACTTTATAGATCTCTATTTGTAACAGCAGAAAGATTTCATTAGCTACTTTTATTTATGGTTTCCTATGCTAGGTATATAAGAAGAAAATTTTGGTAGAATATGTGGTCATATAATGAGCTGCTCCTGAGTTTGTAGTTCAGATTTTGTTTAAACTAATTTCAGAAGAACAAGAAAGGTATGAGGTATAGTACTCACCTTATTGATCCATATATCATGCGCCAATTGGTTTATCAAATGTTGTCAAGAAGGTACATAATTTTTTTTATTTTTTCTTGTTTTATTCTTTCTAGGTATGTACCATTTTTTTCTTCCAAGCTTGTTGTATTTGCTTTATGATGTTTGCACTAGTTTTTATAAGGGAGCTTGCTTTCGTTGTATGGAGACTTTCTTTGGAGTGTCCAGCATATCTCCTTAGTATATCTTATCTTTTAACAATAATTATAAAACATACCTTCTTGTATATTGTATAACTAGAAGTCCCTCATTTAGAGGCTGGTATGATTCGATTTACGTTTGGTGTAGGGCCAAAAAGTAAAGCAACCTTCTCATCACTGAGTAATGTTTCTAACATAACACCATATCTTCCTTATTCACATATAGTAGACAAGAATTCATTTAGGTTGGAAATGGAGTCATTTATAAGTATTTGAATGCATATTTGTTCATATAAAATATTTAGTCTGGCAATGAATTCATAAATAGTTCTGCTACAAAAGCTTGTAGCATTGTAACAACTTTCTACATCTAATTTTGATGCATTATTAGTAAATGAGTTTGAGCCATACATTTTCATTTCTTTTGTAATATTTAATAACCAAATTCATTTTTTTCCTAATATTCAATAACCAAAAAAGTATCTCGTTTTGTGGTATTATTTTTTTTTCTTAATAGCTTAACTAAAGTGAAATCATGTACTTTATAATATGCTTGCCTTCATCATGTTCCGCATGACTTGGTTGCAGTCGGGAACACAGATTTCATTGACTTCTAGTATCAATGAAACCTGCAGTCATAATATAATTGAGGAATTTTCTACATTTCATAGAGAAAAATTGATCATCTTCACGAAATGGAGCTAATGAGGTGGCCCAACTTTTGATGCTTGAAAAATATTTTCACAGTATGACCGAAAAACTTTCATCAAGTCAATTTGAACAAAAAGTGTTTGGCGCTTACTCTAAGATTTGATTATGACCTTTGATTGAACAATATATGATAAAAGAAACATTCTTTAATGAAAAAAAAAATGTCTTCAAAAGTTGGTTGCTTGCGATGGAGCACCAAGCATAAGTGATGGGGTCGATGATGCAGCAAGAAGAGTTATCAAAGAGCGAAGCACAATGTAATACACAAGGCTTTATTTTTGGTTTAAAGCGCCAAACACAGATTGAAGCGGCACTATTATTAATCAAAATGCTAATAGGTTATATAAAACTATTAATAAATAAATACATTCATTAACAATTATAAAACATAATGTATGACTTGAAAGTTGGCATAAAATAGAAAAAAATTGTTGTAAAATACCTAATTTGAAGGCAAGCATTAAGGGTGAATCTACAAATTAAAATTTCGGATAATTTCTAATAGTTGACTAGATTAATTAAAAACTTGAAAATTTGCAGAAAGAAACTGCAAATTAACTCCAGTGCTTCAAAGAAGCAAAGAGGGCATCGTGCGTTACCTTATGAAGCACGTGTTTTAAAATATTGGCAACAAGTAAAGGTGGATAAAGGAGCAAGATATGGGAAGGGATTATTCCTTTAGTCCAAGAGATTTGATACCATGAAGATAGAAAAAGATTATTTAAATTGTGTTTTTCATCAAAGTTCTTATCCCTTCTTTTATATAATAAGATCCATCTTTACTCTTGGTAACTTTTACATATAGGAACTACTAATTATTAGAAATAAAAAATATATATACAATTAACACACATTTATTTCTCAGAACATTGAGAGAATTCTGCCGTTGAAAAAGCCAAGTATTGCCAACTTATCCAAAATAATACTATGCTAGTTTTACAATATGAAGGATTGCCAAATGGCTTCTAAAAGCAGCAAATTTTATGAATCTATTCTTGGTGTTAATCTAAAAGGGTTCCCGAAGGACCCTCCTTTAATAATTTAAGAAAAAAAAATTAACCTTTTATAATGTCATCATCTTTGACAAAAATCATATGAATGACAAACTAAAAATTCCATTAACAATAAAAATAAATGGACCAACTCAATAACAAGCCCAAAGAGCAGGTCCATGTTAACAGCTTGAGAGAACCTATAGACAAAGAAGCCCTAACAAATATCACCTATCCATGAGTCAAATAAACCCGCAATAAAAGTTGTGACTAGTTAAGCATAATAAATTAGGATAAAACTAGTTTATGTTAAAATTATTACATTTTGTAAAAGCGAATGAAAAGAAATACAATCGAGTCAGTCAGACCAAATCCCAATGAGTAAGACTAGCTTGAAAGCAAGAAAAAATATATATATATATATATATATTAAAAAGCCCAAGGGCTGATATATTAAAGATAAAGATACAGATAGGTTTGTATGGGTGGGCCTAAACACCCAACCCACACGGTACAATACACACCAAAAAATGTAAAAGATGGGTACATATAGAAATTAAAAAAAAAAAATCCAAAAACCACCCTGGCGCTAAAAAAGTGGTGCCACACAAAAGCAATTTAATTGAATTGAACTCATCTACACCACGGTGCCACACAAAAGCAATGCCAAAATTTTCAAAGAATATTGGAATTGGCAAATTTAACCACTTACAAATACATGGATTAAAATGACAAAGCACAACAAATAAATATAAAATCAGCTCATTGGTTTTGTTGGGCTTTTTCATTGTTGTTGAAATCAATGAACTATGTTGGTTCAAGCATCCAACCCAATTTAAATCTCCCCAAGTCCTCTTATATATAACTAAAAGAAATTCATACTAGGAATAGTCAAAGCTAAATCAAATATGATCAACTAAACAAAAATTATTAACTCTCCTAATCACCCATGAGTCATAATAAAATGTCAAAAATATAGAAAACATGTTAAGCATATATACAATTTTAAGTGAGTGTATCTACATTCTACAAAAGAAATGCATTAATCATCTAGGGTAAGTATTATTGCTCAAGTTATATATTTATAAAGGAATGACCATAGGATATTATACGAGCTTCCAACTAGCCTTAATGTGCCAAACAATTCAAGTACCACCTCCTTAAGGCCAACTGTACCAGAGGGGGTTCAAATCCCCGACTTGAGAGATCTGATACCGTGGATGTCAACCAACAGGCCGGGGTATATATGAACTTGATACCAAAAAAGAATTGTGAAGGTTGCAAAATATCTATAAAGTGTAGGATGGGAAAAAAAATAGAGACAGACATCTAGAATTTAGCTGAGCTTTGATACCATGATGTGGGTTGGTTGATTTTCCAATAGCATTAGTGTCTCTGTATAGACAAATACAAATGGTAAAAATAAAAAAAATTAAGATTATTTATATTCTCAATTAAGAGGATATACTTCATAATAATAATAATAATAATAATAATAATAATAATAATAATAATAATAATAATAATAATAATAATAATAATAATAATAATAATAATAATAATAATAACAATAATACAATATCTTCATTACTTGGCTTTTCCATATAAAAGGTATCTAATGATAACATGTATTGTTCTTGCAAGCAACCAAATAAAAAAAGGAGATACAAGATTCCAATCAACCTCAAGCGACAGTAAAGACTCATGAATTACTGCAGTTGCGATCAAATGTAAAAAGTTCAATAAGAAGGTATGCATCAATGTACTCCCAACCATATGAAGAGATGCAATTTTACTGAAACAAAAAATAAGATATTTTGAAGGTAAAATTGGAACCATAATAGCAGATGAGTTCCATACAAAAATTATCAATATATAAACAAAGAAAAAATCAAATAGAAAAAAAAAAATGTTCTCAACAAAAGAAATGGTACAAATTACCTTCAAACTAGAGGCTATTTTGAAAAAATCACCTTCTATGAAATCAATCCTCGCGCTCACTCCATAAATATCTGCATTGTGCTTTGCATAGTCAATTTTTATTGGGTCAACATCAATTGCAATGACATTATTGTTCCTGAAATAAAATTGTTTCAGAAAGTAATTTAAAATCAAATATTACAATAAAAAATATATATAAACAACCAAAAAAGTTATCTTAACACCATAAGTACTAATTGGTAAAAACATTCACAATAAAACACTAGACCAACCCCTTCTATGGTTTTATCCAAAAATTACCTTTTTTAAGAGCTATTTACAAAAACAATCACCTTTTATGAAATCAACACACACACTAACTTCATAAATAATTGCAGTGTTGTGCATAATCAATTTTCAATTAACTAACATCAATTACAATGACATGATTGCTAACTAAATAATTTATTTCGAAAATTAGCTTCTAGTAGGAAAAATGGCTATAAATTGCTTCATCTTCAAATTGTGCCTTTTGGCTCAATGTTTTTAATTGCATGGAAACCAAAATAAACATTGTGCTTAAATTAGTTTATATCACTAAAATAGCTAATTTTAGCATTCAACCCAACATAAACAGAACCTTTAAGATGTATAACCGCAATAAATTGTTGAAAATTTGTGTAATCATCTTGATGGAATTTTAAATGTATCTACATTACATCTTCCAATACTTTACATATACTTTGGCGCATCATTGTTCACAGTTCCTGGTAAGAAATAGTAGAACAAAGTAGTCCAAGGCTCCATAAACTTCTAGGCATTTATGTACAAATACTGTTCAAAAGTTATCATTTTAATGGGAGTTTAAATATATGTACCTTATTTCTTATAAATTATTTAAAATTATTTGTTTCTTCTTTATCATTCCCACTTGTAAGAAATAATTAGTAGAAAAAAATATAATAATAATAATAATTCGTAGAAGGCGTCAGGAGAGAAATACTCCAATTTTAAGAGTTTTGTTTTCACATGGATATTATATAGGAAAAGACTAGCTTTATTGCTAAATCGTTGTTAACAAGAAAAAAAAAATTTGAATTCATGATGTTTTGCAATTAGATGTCATAAAAGTGCCAATAATTCTAAATCAACTAGCATCTAACCATGAATTGCATGCCCATTGGCAACATAGAATACGTTTTTTGCCAATCGGACTCAAAACATTAATTTTGGGGTCAATTGACAATAAAGCATTGGTCCTGCAAGATTGATTATGCGTATTAAGACAAAAAAAAGCCAGTCATTTTAAGTAGACAAAGCATAACATTTTGTTGTCACATCTACATCAATTGTATCCTCCGAATGCTCACCTCATGGCAAACTGAATTGCATTTCCACCAACGCCAGCAAAGCAATCGACTACAATTCCAGTACTGCATCGAATTGCATGGTGTTTTGCAATTTGCTCTGGTGTGACGGAAAACCAACTTTCCTCGTCCAATTTTATACCTTCATCAAATCTAGAAAATAAGGAGTATCTTTGGCACCAGTACTTGAATAAACCATCAGAATGACATTGCGTGAGTTGTTGCACGTCCTCTGAAAAGAAATTGGCAAATTAAGAGCAATCAACAGTAATCAAGAAAAACCTTCTTAGTGGAGAAATGGTCAGAGTGACTTCGTAGCTCAAAAGTTCAATCAGTGAATATACAACAGTGACACTAAGTCTATTCTACAATAGATATTGAGCAGAGTATACTTAAAATACAAATTATTCATAAAAGACATAACTGTCATCAATTCTATAATTACGCACTAATGGCATAGATTGATACATAAAGTAAAATTAGAAAATAATAAAACTCAATAGCAGCATTTGAAATTGCACTTAGAAGATGCGTCATTTTTGCCTGGATTAAGATAAAAAGAAAGCCTTCATTAAATAGCTGAACATTTATTACATCATCATCATCATTATCCTTATCCCAACAATTTAGGGTCAGGATTTGAATTCTCATTTTTAATTCATGTTTGTTGACTGTTTGAGATATTAAATATATTCTTTCAAAATAATTTTAAACACCTTCCATTCATGCAACTGATCTACCCATTTTTCTTCCTAATAATCAGACAATAATTTCATCTACTCATCTAATATGCCCAATATATTTTTTTGCCATTCGTTATACATGTCCAAATCACACAAGTCTAATTTCAATCACCCTGTCTTTAACAAAACTCACATCATATTTCTTTTAATATATTTATTCCATAATTTACTTTTCATGATTGTCATACATCCATCTTAAAATTTTGATTACCATTAAAATAGTATGGTCAATCATTTAAATCCATACAACATCATAGGCGTAATTAGACTTTCTAAAATTTACCACTAAACCATCTTTGGATCCACTCACACAAAACTCCCGAATTTTTTTTTTATCATAACCATATATTTTAAGTCTAGAATTTCTATCCACATCTATCTCTGAGTATTGTCTATAATAGATCTGAGATATTCAAACTATAACTCTAGTCATAACCATATCTTCTAATAATATTGATGATACTTTTAACATCATACCTACTAAAATAACATATATTAAACCCATTATTTGTTCCAACAAGTGTGAGGCAACAGCATCAGCAATTGGGGAAATGATGATTTGGTGGAGATCAATAAAATATATTATTTGGCCCACCAGCAACATCAGCAAAAGAGCGAGGGTGTTGGGTAAGAGTTGTTGACCTTGTTTTGAGATCACTAGGATCTAGCCATAGGACTTTCCTATTGACTATCTTAGAAAACTAAAATTAAGACACACCTTTTTAGAAATTTCAGCCACCTCCTATTTCTCTTGTGATGTCTCTCACTGATGATCTCAAAACCATCATCCTATGGTCGAATGGTAAAGGACTATCATGTGGAGGCTCAAGAAGAAGTTCCCAATAGAATCTCAAGCCCTCTTCAGAACTTTATCATCACACACACACACACAAAATGCACATAATTTACTAAGTTGCACAAGGTAGAATTGAAATTGAGCTTAAAAAATGGGTAAAAATGCTAACTTCTCCAGATGACCTCCAACGATAAAATGGACTGCGTCAACGCATGCGGGACATCAATTTTAGCTAAGAAAGAAACTCATATTGCTATAATTACGCACACGAGTAAATTACAAGCATATCGATGAATTCGTCAAAACCACCTCCGACGGTGAAATAGACAGTGACAGTGCATCCGAAACGTCAGAATTACTTAAAAAAGACACCAATTTTGTTATGTTTTGACGCACGAATAAAAAGTACGAATCGAATTTTGATTTTTTAAGAAATATTAAATATTTTATATACTTATAATATTAAAATTATAATCCTAAATCATATTTACCCCAATACCCGCACACTTAAACACCCATTTGACCCGTCCCATGGCTCGATCCCGCGGTGCTCGTCCCGCTCACATCGCATGCCCTAGCTCCCGTGGACGATCCACAAGGCAATCTCTTCCCCCTTTCTTGACTTTTCCCCTTCTTCGTGTGGCCACTAGACTCTTCGGCTCTCCAATTGCAAGGGTCGAGCTGCCTGATCCCTTCTCCTTCTCGAGGTCGCCTCCTCCTCCCTAAATGTGATCCTTCCTCTTCCTCTACCTAATTCGTCCATCAGTGAGGTTGGTAGGTGGTTGTCCCCCTCTTCTCTGCCTATAAAAAGGCTTCTTAGGGTGTTGTTTTGGGTTGTTGAAATTTTTTTGAGAGAAAGGGAGGCTATGGTTTTACTGTTTGAGGCCTTTAGGGAAGAAAGCTCTGCCGAAATTCTTCCTAGGCTAAGTATTCGTGTGCTAGGAGTATGGAGTATTCGTGGGTTGTTGTTTTCTGAAGCTTTTAGGAAGGACAGCATTACCAAAATACTCTCTAAGCTAGATTCTTGTGCGTCGGAAGTTTGAAGGATTTGTTGGTTGATGTTTCTTGAAGCCTTTAGGAGAAGGATTTCCGTGAGAGTGGTTTTCTTGAAATTTGTCTTATAGTTTTGCTTAGAGTCTACATAAAAGAGGTATTCCCCTTCTTTCCTCTATTCTGCACTATTTAGGATGGCATCTGAAAATACTTCTTTTCTCTTCCAAAGCATGTGGAAATAAAGTTAAGGCCTGTTTTGAGATTTAAGCATTGATACTTGCTAGAATCAGTAGAAATGAAACATAATATAGATATTTTTCTTTTTTTCTGCTAAAAAACGCATGATGGATAAATTTTTGGAATATTCCAATGGTTGCCATGAGATGATAGTTGCCTATTTGAAATACATGCTAAATGAAATGTTGGTTCGAGACTTGATTCTTAAGCTTTTTATTATTATCACCTCTGTTCAAATATATGTTGGAAGTTGTTTCGATGTTTTGGGATGTTGGTTTTAAGAGACTACCTATGCTTCTTTGTTTCTTGTTATCTGTCCCTGTTCGAAGTATACATACACGGGATGCAAATTTTGGGTTTTAATGTTTTGTGAAATCTATTTTTTAGTGGCTCTGTTTTGGCCCATTTGGTGGGCTCGGATTTAGCCTCCTTTGGATTAAATGTTAGCAGAAAATTCTGCCATGTTTACCTCATATGGTTGGGCTCGGTTTTGGCTCTTTGGAGTTGGATCCTTGCTAGAAATTTTTCTCTGTTTTTGGCCCATTTGAAGGGCTCGATTTGGCTCTTTTGGAATGGAATTATAGCTGGAGGTATTTTCTTGGTTTGCCCCTAGATTGGTCTCGGTTTGCCCATGTGTTGTGTTCGGTTTTTGGCCATAAAAAGTGGGAATTGTGTATGAAAATTTTCTCTGTTTTTGGCCCCTTTGGTGAGCTCGATTTTGGCTTCTTCTATGTTAGATTTAACTAGAAGTTTTACATTACTTTGGACCCACTTAATAAGCTCGGTTTGGCTCCTTTTGGTATCATGTCTTGGTTGAAATCTTTGTTGTTTTTTGCCCCTTTTGTGATCTTGGTTTTGGCTTCTTCTATGTTGGATTTAACTGAAAGTTTTACATTACTTTTGACCCACTTAGTGGGCTCGGTTTGGCTCCTTTTAGTATCATGTCTTGGTTGAAATCTTTGTTATTTTTGACCCCTTTGATGGGCTCGGTTTTGCCCCTGTGCTGGACTTGATTTTGTCCCTTTGGTGGGCTCGGTTTGCCCCCTATTGGGCATGGATCAGTTAGAGATTCCTCTTTAACATTACTCACAAGTTCTTTTTTTATTGGTAATCAAATTTGTCATCCCAAAATTCATGATTTCAATATATACTTTTATATGGGAATGCTTGAAATAAGCTGATGAATTCATTACTATGTCTTACTGGATGAAAATGACTTTGTTTTGGATAGTTTATGGTAGTTTGTCTATTCACTCTCTTATGTATATCAATAGTAATACAATGGCAACACCTATGGTGGTTTCCTTTCTGTTACCTTGGTCGTGAGCCTTACTTGGTGTTTGCTGCCTTTGTGGCCTTCTTCTTTGCCCCTACGCGCGAGCATTATTTTTGTGATTTGTGTTATGGTTGGTTGGGATTTAATTTGCTTCTCATTTTATGAGTTCTTCCTATGGTTCTTTTATATTAAAGGTGGTTGGGTCAGGCTTAAATATGTGGTGGCTTTTACTCTTTGGTTGTCTTTACCCGTGAATTGGAAATTGCTGGTTTGGGTTGGTGTTTTCTCTGGCTACCCCTACGCGATAACATCTAATAGTGATTTTCTCTTATACTGAGCTCGATTTGCCCTTCTGGCTGCTACCCCTGCTTAGATAGAAATTAGTAGCTTCTCTGGATGTTCCTGGTTGTGAGCATTTCTTGTAGTATCCTTCTATTCTGTTTAAATGTTTCCCGTTGCCGGGGTGATGAATATTTGGTTGAATGTGCTATTTTGGAGAGCTTAACTATGTTTTTTCTTGCCCCTATCCGTGAGCTTCTGTCCTCTCTCTTGTCCCAAATCGTGAGGTTATATGGGGAGTTTGGCTGTGCTTTTTCTGGTTTTTACCCGTGGACTTATTTAGCTGGTTGGTCGTGAGGGCTGCTACGCTTGCCCGTGAGTGTCTCAGCTGAGTTTTCTTTTGTCTTGTTTGGTTGCTCCCTGTTTCCCCGTTGCTGTGAAGCTGGTTTGGTGGTAATGGTTGCTGTCTTTGGCCGTGAGCTTTTTTTTTTTTGTTGGGTTGATCTCTTTCTTGTCCCTACGCGTGGGCTTATTTTGGGGCTTGACCATCTCTCTTGGTTGTCCCTCTCTGTTGCCCCTAGTTTTGAGCACTTATTTGGTTTTATTTGGATGATTTCGTGCTTATATGATAGGGAAAACTTTTGGTTGGAGTTAGAGTTGAATGGCTTTAGTGTCTCCAAAATTTTGGGAATTTCGAAAGTTGTTGTTAGTGGATTTGCTTGATTTGTGAAAGTTGAAGGCCTCTACAGCTTTATGTTGGAAAACATGAGATGATATAGATTAGATTCATAAAGAATTTAACTTGTCATATTGTCATTCATAAAATAATTTTGGAAGTTTGACATTAAAATTTGGATAACATAAATGCGACATTTGAGCTCAGGCATGGGTGTGTGAGTATATATTGG